TAACGAGGGATACACAATCTAATTATATATAGAACATGCAATCTGAAGTATATCAAGAGTTGTTACAGAGATGTAATGTAATGTATAATTTGATATACATGATGATTGAAACTTTAATCGTCAACAAAAATACTAAATTAAGATGAAACCTAAAAAAAAATTACAACTTTCTAAATAATTAATTACCTTACATTTTAAAATAGACCCATTATTATTTTTAACACATAAGTAACTAGTAACTACATAGATTCGGTAAAATAATAATTTTTTATTTATCAAGTAATAGGGCTGAATAATAAAACGTCAAAAATAAAACGGGAATGAAACATGCCTAAGTTAGCCAAATAAATGTAGCTACATTTCCATTATAATTGCATTAAAGAGAAAAAAAAATGATACAATGAGTTGCAGAGATCTAATGAATAGATTTTGTGTAATGTGTGCAGGGTGTTTGTTATCTTATGAGAGAGAGTGAGAGGGGGAGGAGAGAGAAAGGGAGAGAGAAAGGGAGAGAGAATTGTGGGGGGACATTTGTCGAGTGTCTCACATCACATGCATTGTTGTTCTCCAATCAAAAAACGAATCATAGAGTGTCGTTTTATTACACACCATGTCCACATGGGTTGTAATAATCTATTGTGTCTCTTTTGGTCAAAAATGGTCCCCATCTTCAAAATCTTTAGCTAACTTTTCTTTGCCTCACTTTGGGGTTCCTTTAACAGCCTTTTCTCTGCCTCACTCAATCTATCCATCCCCTCACCTTTTTTTGTGGCTTATATCATGACATGCCAACATGTGTACATCCTTTTTTTATAAATGCAATCTTTCAATTAAAAATTTACATTAACATAATTCTAACAATAATCACTAATATCAAATTTTTAACGTCGTCCCTCAACAGGATACCAAAGATTAAAACCTAATAATAATGATAGTCTTGCCTAATAATTGATGGTCAGGTAAAGGTGGCAAATGGGCATATTGGATTGGATTTGGGATCGATCAACTATGGGTCGTAATTCATATTTAATTCATATTAATTTATTTCTTCCTTTTTTTTGGGTAGAGAGAGAGAGAGTGAGAGAGAATGCGTGGGTGGAGCGAGAGCGACATATGAGATTGGAGAATTAGGGTTGGTTTTGGTGTGTGAAGAATTAGGTGAGATTATGGGCAAGTGAAAGTGGGTTGAATATGGGTATTTATTTAACTGTTTCAACTTGCTAAATGTAAGAGTCAGTTAAGTTTGACCCATTTTGACACGAGTATAAAATGATTCACCCAAACTTATTAATTATTGGACGTATATAGGCCGGTTCATGGGTTGGGTCATTTTTTTTCACTTGTAGTTATCGATCATTTTATCTTTTTTCATAAGATAATTTTTTATATTTCAAAGTGAAAAGTGAAGAATTCTAGTCCTCTCAAGTCTCAATTAAGTGAATATGTTATTTGTCAATGATAAATAGAAAGAAAAAAAAGAAAAAAGAGGAGTTTTAGAGTTACATTTCTTACACCTCTCTTATAAGTTATAAATAAAATAAAGATCAGTTTAACGTTTAAACATTATTAGCAATGATTGGGCAAATATATATGCAAATCATTTGGAATAATGAAGTAGACATTCATATTCTTATATATATATATATATATGTATATATATATATATATATAAAAAAAAAAATATTCCCCTAAACTTTTATAAGACTCCTTAATATACTGAAAGCAGAATCTTAATTAATTCAAAGCTATGTCACACGCAAAGTCCATCTGCCACCAGTTAATCTTAAATTATATATTCATTGTATCCAACAGAATTAGGGGTACATGGGACGGTGTTATTATTTTTGCTGACATGTATAAAGGTGTCATGTGCTCTACCTAATTTAATTGAGACTTAAATATAGGGTTTGTTTGGATGTTTTTTTTAAATAATATGATCCAATTCACTTTTTATTTTATTTTGTTTTTATATTTTATATGATATTTCAGTGAAAAAGTTGATAATCTTGATTGAATCAATAAAAAAAGGTACTTAATCATATTGTTTATGAGAAGTTGGACTATAACATCAATCTTTAGACCATTATCATTGTTAAAAATGGATTTGGGCTTGGGAGGTTGGGTGGGGTTGGGGATTGGGAGAGTAAGTTAGACACATACATTTATAATGTAAATACACATTCATCTACAATGTCGTTTTTAATAAAGTCGAACGTTGAATCTATCTTTTGAAAAGAAAAATTATAGCAATTGGGTAAAGATTTTATATCAAAAACACGATTAATGAAAAAGTAAATTTGCAATTGTCTATTAAATTTGTGGCTGTCAAATAAACCTCGGTTATGTGCAACCATCCGCAAGTTATATTTATCAATTAAGTCTGAATTTACTGCTTCAGAGAGAGTCAAACACGAAATCTTCTACGTGTAAAGTTCTTGTGCACGTTCAACTCCTGAACTATTAAAGCTAGTTAGTGCAGACTGTTTCACATATGTTTTTAAAAACATGCTTAAGTATTTTTAAGAGAAATGATAAGCATAGTCGACGTGTGCCACAAAAAATTATAAAAACAATAGACAACTAATTGTGTTCCTAAAACTGTGCATCAAATGAAATGATAAACATGGTCAATATGTGCCACAAAAAATTATGAAAACAATAGACAACTAATTGTGGTCCTAAAACTGTGCATCAAATGTATGTAAGCGAAATGATAAACATGGTCCATATGTGTCACACAAAATTATGAAAAGAATGTGACAACTGATTGTGGTCCTAAATAAGTGCATCAAATGTAAGATGAATAGTTGCCCTAGTGAGTTGGTGGCTGTTTCACTCTTAGTAACCATTTTTTCCTAAAATTATTAATTAGATGAGAACTTCAATGAATCAAATAGTGTCACCTTTCTATCCGCAAAAAAGTGGGAGAAGTTTGAGTTGGGAAAAATTCATTGAGTCAAAATATAAGAAAAATATTTCACGAGAATAATTTCAAAAAGCATATATATAAAGAGTCAGAAAAATTTTTAGAATTGAATGTATAGGAGAACATGTGTTTAATAGTTAGATAGATATAATAGATTATACAAAAATTAATGGTTAAAATTTCATGACAAAATCAGATAAAATAGACCAAATATTAATTTTCTCTTTCTTTTGACTAAATAAGTAATACATTTGTTTTGTTAATCCACAACCTATATAATCTATGGTTTAAATTCTGCAATATTGCACATAATCAATTGTTTGATTGTTTTCATAATTGTTTTTTTTGTTAGCTACAAATGATTTGAATCATTCACACGTAGGAATGATCGTGGTCATCATATAATATAGTATACTATATTACACATAAATTGTATACTATAATACAATTGTCTTGTTAATCCACAACCTATATAATAATTTTTAGAACAACAATCAGTTGTCCGATTGTTTTCATAATTGTTCTTTTCCTTAGAGTACAAATGATGACCACGATCTTATTTGTACGCTAAGAAAAAAGAACAATTATGAAAACAATCGGGCAACTGATTGTGGTCCTAAAAATGTGCATTAAATGTATACAAGTGAAATAATAGGCAAGGTCAACATGTGCCACAAAAATTTATGAAAAGAATGCGACGACAACTGATTTGTGGTCCTAAATAAGTGCATCAATGTAAGATGAATAATTGCCCGAGTGAGTCGGTGATTGTTTCACTCTAGTAACCATTTTTTCCTAAAAATTATTGATTAGATGAGAACCTCAATGAGTCAAATAGTGTGACCTTAATTTCTATCCGCAAAAAGGAGGGAAAAGTTTGAGTTCAGAAAAATTCAGTGAGTCAAAATATAAGAAAAAGATTTCACGAGAGGAATTTCAAAAAGCATAAATTCTCGACCTCGAGCCGTGACCTAGTTAGTTCTAGAATTGAATATACAGAAGAACATATGTTTAATAGTTAGATAGATATAAAATATTATACGAAGTCTTATGGTTAAAATTTCATGACAAAATTAGATAAAATAGACTAAATATTAGGCTTGCTTAGTTTTGTAATTTTAAAAACAATTCTCAAGAATTTAGAGAACATAAAATAGTTTTCAGAAAATAAAAAAAGACAATTATTTTAAACTATGTCTTTTTATAATCGAGTTTTTAAAAAACAGTTTTTAAAAAACTGAACCAAGTAGAGTTTTTTGTACAGTTTTCTATTTTCAGTTTTCTGAGAACAAAAATCTGTTCTCGGAGTTACAAACCACACAAAGCCTAATTTTCATTCTTTTGACTAAATAATTAATACAATTGTCTTGTTAATCCACAACCTATATAATCTATAGTTTAAATCCTCTAGAATATCATACATAATATTAGTATTGTACTATATTAGACGTGTATGATTCAAATCATACAATTGTACATTAACATCAAAGGAAAGTAGGATCCAATACAGTATAACACTACATCAGATAATCAGATAACCCACAAGCAATACACATATATAGATTCACGTTATCATAATAGATAATTCAAATTCATATATATATATATATTCACAACGATATACTTAAAAACACCATAACAAGATTCCCCCCCCCGGGACATTAACAAGATGTTTTTTTTCTACTTTTTAACACTATGAAGTTCACTGAATTTTTATCTATCACGACAGAGTAATTATGGTTTATATTATCGTTGGATTTAGTTGTTAACTCATTACCGAAATTACCCCCCAAAACCAACCTACCAAAAGCCGTTGAATTACAACGGCCACGCTCAGACGGAACGGTGAATCAGAGTCCAAGAAGACTTGGTCACACGTATAAAGACATACACAAAAATATCAAACCCAATCCATCCACATTTTCTTCAACACTTTCTCTCTCACAGTAAATTACATTTGCAGAGGAGAGAGAGAGAACGTTCCATGAAAGCGACCAAGACCTCTCAAATCCCCAAGGTAAAAAAACAAACAAACCCAATTCGAACATTCCATTTTCATACTAACCCATTGAATTTTTCAACCAGAAACTGGTAACATTTTCATGATTGATGAAGAAGAAGACATTGACAGTCTGTAATGGTGGACCAAACCCATTAAAAATTACATAAAAACCATGACGACCCAGATAACATAATTTATGAAATTTGACTTGTCTGATTAATGAGACAAAGATGTGTAGGTAATGTCGGTGTAAAATTAGCACTAACCCATGATTGGTTTGTTCTTGCAGTTGATGATTTGGGGTTGCAGAGGTTTGGTGGCCCAGCATTGGTGAAGAAAAAAAGCTATAGGATTTGAATTCAACTGTGTATTATTGTTTGATAATTATATATAGATACAGGCTTTGTTTTGGTATGTGATTTGGGTTGTCAGTGTTGAATGGGGGCGACGGACGGTGCTGGCGAGGAGCTTTCTCCGGCGGTGAGCGTCCGTGAGGAGAAGATTTTCGTTTCGGTTCGATTACGGCCTCTGAGCGAGAGGGAGATTGCGAGGAAAGATGCATCTGATTGGGATTGCATCAGTGACAACACCGTCTTTTTCAAGAACAGCAACCTCCCGGTGCCGGAACGGTCCATGTACCCCACTGCCTATACATTTGGTAAGCCAATTTATGTTTTGCCCTTCTTTTGTTCAATGGTTTTTGTGTGTGTGTGTGTTTGTGTATTCAGATTTGGTAAGAGCTTTGGTATACAATTTTGATTTTTCTATGGATTATGTGTCTCTAAATTGTGAGTCTTAATTATGTTAAATTATGTGAATGTTTGAAAATGTGCAAGTTATTGTCATTATAGAGCTAGATTCTACATCATTTATTGTGAATTAATCCCAAAATGACTCATTTTGAGACATAAGGGAACTTTTTTCTTGAATGGGTAATGATTTTTTTTCGGTTGATTATTGTTTTGCCCCCATTAGAGGGTGGTTGTCAATTGTCATGACTCATGATTTATCAATTCAGTCCTCTCTAGCTTGTCAATGTTATAGAATTTTCACCCGCAGTTCTGTTAAGCTGTTAAATGATGAGTTCTCAATGTAATTCAAGTAAAGTATGCATCGAGTTTTAATTAGGAACATTGCTGTGGTTGGTTTTGAGACAAAACTAGTTTATAGAGGATTTTTGTTACGGTTCGTTTTGATCACATTGAGTGACATGAATAGCAAACTCTTCCTGATCTTTCTTTTTATGTTCTTTTATTTGTGAATTTGTCTGGGTTCTAGACAGAGTATTTAGAAGCAATTCTTCCACGAAGCAAGTCTACGAGGAAGGAGCCAAGGATATTGCTCTTTCAGTTGTAAATGGCATTAACTGTGAGTATAATAATCTCTTTCCCTTTTGTTCCTCATTTTTCTTGTTTCTTGAATTTCACTTGGAGCCCCATTGACGATTTTCTCTACCGCAAACGAAAAATATACTTTCCAGCAAGTGTTTTTGCATATGGACAGACAAGCAGTGGAAAGACATACACCATGACTGGAATTACCGAGTATACCATAGCAGATATATATGACTATATACAAAAGGTAATCTAAATGCTAATACTCCATATCATAGCTTTTCCCGGCTTTCAGTTCTGCATTCCAGCATATTAATTCCTTAGTAATTTAACCTGTTTGTTCATCGTATAATCTTTTTGTAGCGCACGGAAAGAGAATTTACATTAAAGTTCTCAGCTCTGGAGATCTACAATGAGTCTGTCAGAGACCTCCTTAGCACAGATAGTACTCCACTTAGACTTCTAGATGATCCAGAGGTGAATTTACTTCTTTATATACCAACTGGTGGTATAGATTTGTTTCCATTATGCTAAAAGTTGACATTTAACAGAGGGGGACGATTGTTGAAAAACTCATAGAGGAGACTCTGAGAGACTGGAATCATGTAATGGAGCTCCTTTCCATCTGTGAAGGTAAGGACATCCTCAAGTAGTCCCGGTTTCACTAAACGACTCATAATTGAATGTTTATATGTCCTAGTGCATTCTTGCAGCTCAAAGACAGATAGGGGAAACCTCCCTGAATGAAACAAGTTCCAGATCTCATCAGATTATCAGACTGGTATTATTGTTGTTTTAGACTGATTTTTATTTTATTTTTCAATTCTTTAGCAGAGTTCTAAGTTTAAGTATATTTATCATTTCCCGTGCTCACTAGTTGTTGTTTTTTTTCTTCATTTCTTTTGCAGACAGTTGAAAGTTCAGCTCGTGAGTTTTTATTGAAAGACAATTCAAGCAGCCTTGCAGCTTCTGTGGTATGGATCATCTACTTTATGTTAATTCAATTTATGGATAGTAAATGGAAAGTATAGTGAGCTAAGATATATGTTTTTATTTTTATAATTTAAATAGAATTTTGTTGATCTTGCGGGGAGTGAGCGTGCATCTCAGTTATTATCAGCTGGCATGAGGTTAAAAGAGGGATCCCACATAAATCGCAGTTTACTCACCCTTGGAACAGTTATCCGCAAGCTAAGGTTAGCTTTATTTATTCTCTTGCAATTTGATTATGAAATTGACTTCAACTTATTAATTGAAAATCAGTGTTTTGTAGTTGTTTCCTTAAACCTACTTTGAATTCTCTAGAGCTATAGTTAGATCTTTTTAATCTTGACAAAGTGGTTGTTGTCCTTAGTTCCATGTAACTATATATATCAAAACTGCCTGGAGTTAAAAGCGCAGTTAATTATATTGTGCGGATATGAATAAAAAAACGTAATTATGGACACTACTCCATTCCCTTTCATTAAATCAAGGACTTCCAATACTTTTCCCTCTATAATCTACTCTCTCTTGATTAGGAGGAATTGGCGATGGCAACAGTTTTAGTTTTACTAGATGAATATTATCAAATAGTTCTAGCTTTCAGCATTTTTGCATCAATTTTCTACCCCTTGATTGCAGTTAGTCATTCATTACAGTAGCAAAGCTATACTGGCCTCATTTCTTTTAAATATCATGAAGGGTTGACTCTGTGTGTGTATCCATTTCATTTTTCTTTTTTAGTTCTACGATTTGTCGGCTGGATGTTGTTGCTCATATAGTTGAAGGTTTTATTTGTTACTCATGTATGTTATTTTATTTGGATACAGCAAGGGAAGGAATGGACATGTTCCTTTCCGAGATTCCAAGCTAACCCGCATACTGCAATCTTCATTAGGAGGCAATGCTAGAACTGCCATCATCTGCACCATGAGCCCTGCAAGAAGTCATGTTGAGCAATCAAGAAACACCCTTTTGTTTGCAAGTTGCGCCAAAGAAGTGACTACTAATGCTCAAGTTAATGTCGTTATGTCTGATAAAGCACTGGTAAAGCATTTGCAAAGGGAACTCTCTAGACTGGAGAATGAGTTGAACAGTCCAAAAGCAAATGCCACATCAGGTTGCACTGCATTACTGCGTGAGAAAGACCTTCGAATTGAAAAGGTAATGAAGTAGTCTTTCGGTATCAAAATTTTAGTACTTGTAAATATATACATTTGTGTCCCTTTGAAACTAGACTCAGGTACTTTTAAATCCGAAACCGAACTATATAAATTTGACAAGAGTGAATTGATTGGATGACCTTGTCAAACATAACCTCTGTTGGAGCCTCAATTCAACATTTATCCCTCTCCGTATTCCGATTATTTGTTCTTTCAAACTGCAGAACTTCAGCTGTTTAGCTATGCTTTTGTTTATTTTTTTTCTATTGCCCTTGTCATATTAGCTTCAAGCAACTGCAGAACATATTTTTACATAGATAAAATGTTCTCAGTGAGATCACCCATACCCAATCTATCTTCTTAGTAACTAACGGGCCAGTGGCCTAGCGGTATTAGCCTCTTACTTCCCAAAGGGAGGTCAGAGGTTCAAGTCTTAGAAGAGACAAGTGTGTGAGAGTACTAATTAGGAAAAAAAAAAAAAAAATTCTATCTTCTTAGTCTTGCCCCTAATTTTTTTTAACAATCTCATTTCAGCTATGGTGAAACTATGAACAAGTTTATTGATTGCTTAGCATTCTGTTTCATTCTACATGGCTGGTCTTATTGTTGGCTTATAGATATTTCTTAATTACCATGTACTGCTCATCTAAATAGTTGATATGGTCGGAAAAAAATTCACCTTCTTATTCACCAAATGAACCTTTTCTCATCTGAATAATTAGGAAATCTTGTATTCTGAGCATCATTCCTCTATAATACTTATGCATTTATCCTTCTCTAATTTTTTGAATGATTTTCTACGGAACATGCATTGATCTTCCCCAGTATATTATATGGTTTTTAATATTTTCTTAATGAAAATATATTGGCTTAAGGCCGACTGCGGTAGTCTAAGTTTTACAGACTGCAGCACCTTTATTATTACCAGGTAGGTACATAAGCCCAGCAGTCATCTGAGCAACAATCGAACCTCACGTCCTGTAATAAGTTGAAAATCTGAGGAATTTCAAAGAACTGGTTAAATTTGGTAATGCTTCTATACATGGGTTACAAACCATGTTGAATTGCCTCACAAAAGGAGTACCTTCTTCTATGACTTAACCGATGTAAATTGAACTTATTTGGTGTAAAACAATACCTCAAATTACTTCTTCAAAGCTTCTCTAAGGTCTTCTCAACAGACTGTGATGGCAAGTACTTGAAGGCTTAACCTCTGTAACTGATTTTCATTCTTTTGGTAACATTACAATGCATCATGAATAACTCACATTTCAACAATAAATCTGGCATGGATTAATGAATATTTACTATTTATGCTTTAGATTTTTTCTATTCATGCAAGAAGCAGCAACATCGTACCGCCTAACACTCTATTTTCTCCTCATGCAGCTGGAGAAGGATGTAGTAAATCTTACTCTGCAACGAGATGTTGCTCAATCTCAGATTCAGGATTTGCTACGTCTGGTCGGAGATGATGGAGATTCAATTGCTTCGGTAAATTTTGACAGAAGCATCCTTTTCACCTAAAGTTGCATTCTCCTGCTAAGTTTTATATCTTATGTCCTCCTGCAGGTTGAGATAAATCGATACCCCAGCTTGAGAGTGCAAAAATCACCGGAATCTGACAGAACTGCTTTGTCAGATTCTCACTCAACAGATGTTTGTATCAGAGCATTTGACACATCAAAGTATTCTGGCGAACATAGTAGAACTAGTTCTGATGATCACTGCCTACAACTTCCTGACCATGAACAGAATTTTCTGCACAGTGACACCTCTACAAGGCCATTGACTGGTAGTTCAGATTTTACTGGAAATGATTCACCTCACCGTTGGGGGAAGGTTGAAGAGAACATTAATGGAGATGCTGAGGATATATGCAAGGAAGTTCGATGCATTGAGATAGGAGTTTCAAATACCACAAGAAATGTAGAATCGAAGCGATTAGCTCCTGAAGATGATGCGGGAAACTCAGCTTCCATGGTGGTTGGGAATGGAAACAGGAATCAGGAATTGATGTCCCCTGACTCACCATTACCAAAAGAAGATAGAGAAGAAAGTCGTCTCCATCCATCTTTTGTTGTTCCTTCTCCTGAAAAACCCTCTTCGTGGCTGCAGAGATCCGATACATTTGAGTCTAGAAGTTTGTTGACTAAGAGTAGAAGTTGTAGAGCAAGCCTCATGATCGACGTGTCTTCACCATGGTTTAAGAGGCTAGAAGAGAATGAGAACACACCAGCAAATGGGCTTGAGATAGACTTCATTGGAAGACCCGAGGGGTTTCAGAGAAAGGCTTCTGCATTGAACTATGGTGCAGATGTCAAAGCTTCTCAATCTTCCGTTGGGACCACTACTACTGCTGATGAGCTTCAAGCACAGAATGGAAAAAATTCGACTGATGAGAATTCTACAAGCATCAATACATCTGTTGCAGAAACGAAGGAGATTGCTGAGGATCAGCATGATAAGCAAGTTTCTGGGTCTCTGGTGAGTTTTTAAAATGGCTCAAAAATTTTTTATTTCAAACATTGGGCCATTTTATGATCTTTCTTTATTCATTAATTAATTGTGGACATCATTGCTAGAAACAGTGGAAACAATAAAGGCATTATATAAAGCTAAAAATGATATTATTATTATTATTATTATTATTATTATTTTTTGGTATTATGCACATATTACACTCATCGAAAGAATATTGAAATCATCTTAGTGTGCAGCAACATATTATGCTAGTGTAAAACTAATATATGGACCTAATATCACTCTTATGGAGAACATGTATGTGGCAGATATTTACCCCATCACAACTTTATATATGTAATTTTGCCATGCATTAATCAGAAACATTATTTATTTACAATAGTTCAAAAATTATTTTTTTACACAAAGGAATTGAATATGAAATAGAAAACTTCAGAAGAATCAGTTTCTTTGCAACTCTAGCTGCTTGGATTCATCTAACTTGTTGTGAATGCTGGATAGGTGCATCAGACAGAACCAGAGGACAACATGGTTTCAAAGAATGTCAAAGATGTTGGCTTGGATCCAATGGAAGATGATGATTCAATAAGTCTCTCAGACTGGCCCTCGGAATTCAAGAGGCTGCAAAGTGCAATTATTGAACTTTGGCACACTTGCAATGTGTCGTTGGTTCATAGAACCTACTTATTCTTGCTGTTCAAAGGTGATCCGGCAGACTCCATATACATGCAGGTAGAGCTCAGGAGGTTGTCCTTCCTAATGGACTCCTTTTCTAAAGGTAATCAGACAGTGGAAAGTGGCCGGACTCTCACACCTGCTTCAAGGTATGATATGTAGACCTCCATATATAATTAATTTTCATCTTGGCAAAAGGGAAAGTGTAGAGGCCAGTAATATATATATATATATATATTATGAAATGAATTAGTTTGATTCTGTGCAATGAGTTGATGTTGTGTGATTGGCACTAGGCTTGGAAGTGTGGCAATGTACTTTACACGAGTTCTTGTTTATTGCCTTTTCTCTGTCCATTTAGTACTACCTAATGTCATAAACAGTTAGATAACAGAGCATGACTAGCAAAAAATAGCTTGCTTTGATCTCTAAACATCTTTTCCTCGAAACAGCATGAAGGGTCTTCGTCGTGAAAGGGAGAAGCTGAGTAAGGCAATGGAGAGGAGGCTCAGTCAACACGAAAGAGAGAGCCTCTACATTAAGTGGGGGATTGGGTTGAACACGAAGAACAGGAGGTTGCAGCTAGCCAACCGGTTGTGGACCAAAACAGAGGACATGGACCACATTGGAGATAGTGCCATTGTTGTTGCTAAGGTGGTTGGTTTCATCGAGCCAGTGCAGGGTTCCAAGGAGTCGTTTGGGTCGTTTGGGCTCAATTTCACGCCCCAACGCAAGAAACGAAGATCTTACAGCATGAAAAGTAAAAGCAGTGTGATATCTCTAAGCTTGTTTTGAGGATCAACACGACGAATTCATCCGGTGGCAATATGATGATGCCTATTGGTTCCATTTTGCAAAGATGGCTTTGAGCTTTAACTGATTTCCACTTTGATTTCCGATTGCAATTGATTACAGTGAGGCTTGTAAATTTTTCTCAGGCTAGAAATGACTTATATAACTGTGATGTCTGATGTTGTGGTGTCCTTCCTTTGTTGTACAGTAGACCTTTAATATATATCTAATGCTATAAAGTTTCAACCA